ATGTGCAAGTTTGGATGCCTGACCACGCATGCGCTAAGCTAGACATGCTACTGAGCATGCGCATCTCTTCCTAAGGGACTACGCATGTGCAAGACTGATAACAGTATTACGCATGCGCTATTCCAGGTACGTTACTGCGCATGCGCCTGTTTCATCGTAGTATTTCGCATGCGCTTGTTCTGATAGACGAGTGCACATGCGCTGCCACTTCGCATGCGCATGTTTTCTCACAGCAATACGCATGCGCCAATACGAGTGCATGCGCTGTTTCCTGCGTTGCAGTACGCATGCGTAGGTTCCGCCGAGCTATTACGCTTTCGTCAATCCAGGCGTATTACTACGCATGCGCTGTTCCATGACGCGCCGCTACACGTGCTCCTGTGTTGACACTACAATACGCATGCGCGAGTCTTTTTGCAACGCTGATCCAATGGGGTGGCGCGTGGGGTGCAGGGTCTGCTGGGAGTAAAAGCAGTCTGTTGCTGGGGTGGGCTCGTCATAAAACCGCCCGAGGAAATAGACAGTGAGCATTCTAGGTTCGAAAGAGGGAGAGTGTGAGCCGGAGGTCCAAGAATTCACTTCTTACTCGCTCCGCAGAGGCTTGGTGAATGTGGGTGCTATTTAATCACTTGAGTGCGTGTGCACTATTGTCTGGAGGACTGAGCATAGTAGTGATTGGTAGATAAGCTGTGCAGAGCGACGAGAACGTAGTTTTCCTCTTCCGCATGGCTCGCGCATGAGTCGTTCTGCCTGCTGCCTCGAGTAGTGGCGGCAGCGGTTCCCCGGTTTGGCCACGCGGTGGCAGCAGAGACCACAAAGAACTTCTCCAATGGGCTTGACGCGGACCCGCGGCGCAGTCCCTGGAATCCTTTCCTTCTTCCTCTTGAGGACAGGGGAAAAACACGAAGTTGGAAGAGGAAGGGGAACAGAAAAAAAAAAAAAGAAAAAAAAATCCTTAGGGCAGCAACGAGGGGACACAGCAAGTTAACTTCCCTGGATTTCAGGAGAGGAGACTGTCTTTATGGTTTTATGGTTTTCCATCAGTATTCCACATCATAACATCTGGCAGTGCCCTGGAAGTTAAAGAGTTAATGCTCCAGTTCTGTGGATTGTCGATACTTCCAGTCTCCTGGTCCCAGAAGAGAAGCATGAACTACAATTCCCAGAAGACTTCATTTTTCTGCTTCCATTCTCCTTTTGGATGAAAGGCAAAGCTGACTGGGAGTCACAAGGCTACTCTCTTTGCTCCCTGTCTGCTTTGCCTGCAGCATTAGAGTAAGGATGTCAGTTTTGGAAACTCTCTCATTTTCTTTTTATTTTACATAATTTATTAGCTTCAATTGCAATCATATTGTATTATATTTTATCTCATATTTTGCTACTATATTTAGTGAACTAAGTTTTTTTTCTTTAGCTTGTTGCAGCTGTTTTCCTCATCTAGGCTCATCTCCCTACCTTTTCCCTTCTCTGCCCCCTTCCTGGAACATAAATATGTGTGTCACTTTGCCCCCTTGTCTTGGACACTCGGCCAAGCCAAGCCAAACCATGACAGAGCTGGTCTTCGCTGGGGTTTGCTGGTCATGGTCAAGGGCTGGGGTTTAGTTTTACGCTGGTTGCAGGACCAGGCCCCTGCACTGACCTCATAAATCATGTTCGCAGCAGCAGCCAGTGTGGATCTGAACAGCTTTCTTCCCAAGCTGAGAAGTGGATAATCCAGATGATCACTGTCCCTGCCATCTGAGAACAAGCTGAGGCAGTTTCGAGAGGAGCTTGGGGAAGATGTCAGCGCCATGAGCTGCTGTGGGACCTTCACTGCTGCTCTGTTCTTGGAGCTGGAGATGTCCTGGTGGGGTCTTGTTCTGCGTTGTTCTCTCTGAGCAGATTGGTGTGTGGGGAGCCAGGCTGCTTTTGCTGGTGTAAAGCTCTCTCCTGACATGGGCAGCTGACAAGGTGATGTGTCCATGTGTTTGCTGAAGCCACATTCTGCAGCTGTGCACCTGCCAGGATATAGGGGCAGAAGTTGTGGAGCCTGCCCAGTGTCAGGCTGCTGCTCACAGGGGAGGAGGGTACCTGCAGGGATGGGGCCAGCATGACCCAAGCTGTTCTGGTGGGAAAGCACTGGTAAATGCAGGGGTGCCTGTCCTCCAACCCCTGAGCTTGCCAGCCTCTGCCTGTCCTCAGGGATAGTTGTTTTTTTATGTTCTGCTTGCTCTGCCTCATGCTCTGCTATACAAATCTTGGCTGTGGGCTCTGTTCTCATCAATCTCTTCTCAAGAGACATTGTGCTGGGCTAGAAAAAGCATCAGCAACAAAACGCACAGGTTAGACCCACGCAGCCAGGCAGTGAAGAGGGGAATGTCACTGCAGCGTGCAGGTGCTCTGCCAGTTGGGTCTCAGCCCAAAGGAGGGGTCTTTGGTGCTTGGGACTCTGCTTTTGAAGGCAAGAAGGTGTCCAGAAGTGTGCTAGTAATGCTTGTGTAAACCTGTCTCTACCAGGACCATTCCTCTGCCTTTGAAGATGCTTGCTGAGCAGCCGGGAAAGCACTGATGTTGAGGAATGGGAGAGATGTTGCTGCTCTGAGACCTGCTCCACTATCTCTGGTTGGACTTGCATAGTTGCACCCTGCAAACTTCAGGCATCCTCTCATAGCTCAGACCAACATCCTCTGCTCACTGCAAATCCTCCTCTGGAAAGAAGCACAAGTGACCATTCTTTGCACCTTGAAACTCTTGGAGGTGGGCAGCAAACTTAACATAGAGAGATAGGGAAGGGAGGAGATCCTGAGGGAGATATTTTAAGGCTGTATAAAGGGTGTATAACCAAGACGTTATAATCACAATATAATTGTGTATAATCAATAGATATCAAGATGTTATAATTGCACTATAATCAAGAGAGTAAGGCAAAGCAGACAACGATAACAAAAAGAGAATAAGTGGAAGAGCTTACCCTTCAGCTGAGCTCACCAGAAAACACCAAGAGAGGTGATCTCCAGAAGAGATCCCTCCCCTCTGGTAGCCAGCTCTTAAATAGGTCTAGGAGGGGTGCAGCCTGGCTCCACCCCTTCCGGCAGCACAGGTGAATTGCCTTCACCTGTGCTACTCTGGCTGACTTATGGCTCGCCTCAGGTGATTAATCAGAGGTTCAGGCCGTGGACTCAGCAGTTCCCATACAAAGGGAGGGGGTGGCAGTGCCAGCTTTCCTTTTGGCATGTCCGTGGCTATTTCCCACACTCCTGCAGCTTCTGCTGAGCTCCTGTATCTTCCTGGAGCTGGCAGTATGAGCTTATAATATGCTAATTGTCATTAATTGGTGCTAATCATGCACAACAGTGCTTGCATTGCTGGGGTTGTGGGACTCTCCTTCCCATACAGTGACTCATGATTTCTCATCAGCTCTGTTGTGGGGTCGGGTCAAAGCAGAAAGCGATGACCCCAGGAGGGAAAATCCATCACTGGAGCTTCAGGGGCATTTGCAACCCTATCTTGGTGGGAGATCATTAAGATTGGAAAAGAATTCTGAGATAGAGTCCAGCCATCACCCCATGCCCACTAACTGTGCCCATAAGAGCTGCTGATGGCCACGTTCAGGCTCCATCCTACTTTGGCACAGCCCAGCTTCTGCTTCAGAGCTCCTAGTGGCCTCTCCCAGCTCTCTTTGCTCTGTGGCTGTGAGGCTGAGCCCTTGAGCTCTCAGCAGCTGGTACAAAGCTGGGCCAGCCCTGCTGCGGATGACGAGATGCTGTTTGCTGGCTGCCCTCTGAAAGCTTTGAAGATTGGCAGACCCCCAGAGACTTGCAGTGGGGACATGGGATGAGGGAGACAACAGTGCCTGCCTGCCTGCAGGCTGGTCCTCTGTAGTGCTGAGTATCAAGTCTGACTCCGTGTAAGCTCCTTAGGGAAGGAAGCAGCTTTGGGGATGTAGTGGATTCGATCAAAGAGGTCAAGCAGAGAAAGGGTCATTGAGGTTGATGACTGAGGTGAAACAGGGTGAGAGAAGGGATGGGGCTTCCCCATATCACCACATACAAGCTGTCCTGGTGTATCCTCATGCTGCGCCCTGTATGAAGGTGTGGGGACTTCCAACTGGTGCTGAGGCTCAGCTTTTCCCCTCTAGCCCCCGTACAGGGGATGAAAGGCCACCTGTGCAGCACCCAGCCTGGCCCTGCATGGGGAACTCTGACTGCTTCGTGCATGTCCTTTAAAGGCCTTCTCCCTTCAAGCTGTTCCCTTGGCAGCTCCTTCTGCCACAGATGCAATTGCTGTGCTGCTGGCAGTGTGCACTGCTTGGTGCCCTGGCTCCCATCCCCAGGGTCCTGACTGCGCAGAGGACTGGGACTGAGCTGGGGCCTTTTGGGACGGATTCGGGCAGGTAATGACCTGGGGAATGTTTGGTGAAGTCAGTGAGCCAAGGGAGAGCGAGGCTGCCTGGGTGTTATTGAAGCTATGCTGTTCAATGAACTGCACTCAGTGTTTCCCGCTATGGAGCAAAGATATGGGGTGGGTGGGTGAGATGGGGTAAAGCAGCAGGTTCCAGGGTCTGCCACAACTGTCCCAGAGTTGATGCTTTGCAGCAGGGACTACCCCTCTGGATGAAACTGATGCTCACTAATGGGATGAGTTTGCTTGTTTTTTTGGGGTTCCTGGACCCCTAGGCAGAGGTTCTGGGGACAACTCCCAATGCATGTGAAAGTTGTTAGATATTCCTAGATCAAGACTGATCTCTGGGAGAAGGGGGATGGCTGGGCTCAGCTGAGGCTTTCCACATAGTCAGCCCCTTAAATCTGTTCTTCATTTTGTATCCTGACCAGAACAAATAAACAGAAAAAAAAGAAATAAATTTCCTTCTGCCCCATAGCTGCATTTCTTCAGGCTCAGGTCCTGGGACCGACAGGGATTCTCTGGGCTTACTGCCATCTTTCTCTCTGTTGTTTAAACATTGGAAAATAACTCAAATGAGATACCTGAGCTTACTTATAGAAGGGATGTGGGAATCCCATGCATTTATTTGCACAGGAGCCTGCCTGCCAGGATGCTTGGGATGACCCCAGCCCAGGTTGCTTCCTCTCTGCACCAGGCAGGGAGTGCAAATGTATCCCACGGAGGGGTGAGGGTTGTGCTGCTGATGTTGGAAATCATGGGTGGGAGGTGGGAAACGGGTGGTGGAAGGGAAAGCCCATCCTCAGCGCTGCACAGAGGTGGTTTGATGTAAATCCCTCGCTTGCCTCTCCCCATGCCCATCCCAGCGGCATCCTCCTGCAACCCACAAATGCCTCCGCACTGCCGCTGGGTGAGAAAACATTTTAAAAATATAACATTTAGAGGCGTTTTCCCATCTGTGCATGGCTAATACGTGTCTCTCATAATAGGTGTACTGGTCCCGGAGCCTCTGTGCTGTGCAGATGAAGCCACGGGTGGACACCTCACTGGGAGCAGGGAAAGAGGTGCGGGGACAAGCCCAGGGGCGTGTGGCACGGAAACAGTGCAGGGGCAGCTGGCAGAGCCCCCACCAGAGCAGGTATGTGCACCAGTTTGGTAGGGTTAGGATAGGGACGGCAGTGCCAGATGTAGTGCTCAGCCTTGTTTTGGTGCAGCAATGCTTTCTCTCCTGGGCACTGATCCTGAGGAACAAATTGCTGGGAGGAGAGGGAAAAGTGCTGCTGAGCTCTGCCTGGAGCCAGGAACAAAGTTTGGGAGTGCAAACTCTTCCCCAATTGGGTGCTGGGCTCTGACATATTTGCTGCTTGCATAGCAGCCCTTGTGTCTCCATGCACTGTGATGCTACAGCATCCCTGGCTCCATGGATCTGCTAGAACTCTGTGAACATGGGGCAAGATTTTGGGGGAGTGACCGCATGATAAAGCCTGCTGTCCCCATAGCAGTGGCACAAGCCAGCTTTGGTGCTGTGCCTGCAAGGAGGCCAGCTGGCAGTGAGATCTGCCTGGCAGTCAGGACAAAATAAATGTGCTAAGAAGCACTGCTGCAGGCCGGTGACTCATTGCTGGCTCCTCTGCAATGGAAGGGCTGTTAGGCACAGGGAGAGCTTCTACGCCCATGCCAGGGACAATGGGGATGGAGTGGGCTGCGGAGGATGCCCCGAAAGGACGAAGGTCCTGGGCACTGCGGGTAGGATGCTGCCTCTCCTGCCAGTGTTGCTTTCGGGTTTACTCTAGTTCCTCTCTGTAGGGAGCAGCATGCAGAGCCACCCAGGCTCCTCACAGCTCCGGATGAAGGTAAAGATATCTGGGGTGGGGGTGGTGGAAAGGAGTGGCTTTGTGCCTCCACTCTCCCTTGGCAGCATAGCATGGGTCTGGGTGGGGGTCCCTCATCCCAGCAGCACCTCCCTGCATTATCATATCCCCTCCAGTCCTGCAACCCTTATCTGCTTTCCAACAGCTCCTCCTGGATGATGGGGACATCCTTAATCCCGTGAGGGATACTTTGGGGGATACCTGCCAGCCCACGCTCCCCAGCATCCTGGAGGTTCTGGGGATCTTAAGGCTGGCACGGGGATGCTGCCACACTGCTGCCACCTCTCTCTGTCCCCAGGGAGGATGATCAGTCCCCAGGAGCACCTGGATAGGGTTTTGGCTGGGAGCAAGGAGAGCATGGAGAGCGTCAGTGAGGTGAGGAGGACAGGAGGGCAATGGGTTTGGGACTGTAGAGCTACTCAGTGATGCTTTTTTGGGGGGAGGGATGCCATTCAGCACCAGGAAGGGGATTGGTCTGAAAGTGCCCTTTTGCAGGAACCAGGCACGGATCTGGCTTTTTGCACTGGAGATGATGATGGGATTGAGGAAGGTGGGTGAATCACCATGTCATGTCCTAGGCTGGATGCCCTTCTGGTGGAGCATGAAGTGACTGGGGACAAGTATGGGAACTGTGTGGCCTGACAGGGTTTAGCTTCCTTGATGGGGACATGGGAACCGTCCCTCCTGGAAGAAGTGCTGGGGCGTTCCCACCCTACTAGCACCTGTATGGGAGGATGAGAGGGAGGAGGGAAGACCAAGCAAAAGCCCCCACATATGGTCCTCCCCACAGATGGAGAAACCCCAGAGGAGCAGCTGCCGAGTTTCCCCAGTGAGCTCTCAGTGCTGGAGAAATTGGGACTGCACAGGTAAAGGGGTGACTGGCTGCGTCATTGCTGGGGGCTGCAGAACTGGGGTCCGGAGGCACCCCTGGAGGTGGACCAAGGGCATTTTGGCATGCAGTCCGCACTGTGCCTCCAGCTCTGACAGCTGTTCTCTTTCTGCAGCACAAATTTGACGGAGCAGGACGTGGAGGTGAGGGCTTGCAGGTGGGCTAGGGAAAGGGGAAAAGAGACCAATGTTCTACTGAATCCCAGCTGGGGGACTGTGTCCTGCTCCCAGGATCTGCAGTCCCTTGACAGTGATGCAGTTGCCATTTGGATTCAGCTCCATTTCTGTGGCACGATGAGCACCCAGTAATCCCTCAAATTTTTCCTTGAGTTCCCTGAGCAGGGAGGCAGTGGAAGCCTCATCATAAAAATAATTGTTCTGTGAGTGCTAGGGCTGAGTCAGGCTCTGCTGCCCTGCATGCCAACCGTGACCTACAGCGAGAGCTGGTGTCTGCCCACCACATCCTAGTACCAGCAGGCCTTGGGATTCCAGTGCATTGTTGGCTGCCAGGGGATGTCCCCATCTTGTGGCATTTCACAGAGTCTGCCCCTAGTGTGCAGTGTCCTGATGAGCGCTGGAGACACACAGTGCTGATGGTCCTCATGGAGCACTGCCCGATGGCACAAGAAAGGGAGTCTGGCTGTGTCTTGGGGACAGCCATGCATGGCCCCGGCGGCCTCCCTTTCATGTCCCAGTCCTTTGCCCTCCTGCCTACAGGCAGCCTTTGCCCACCTCGCCCTGGCGTTTCGCTGCGACATGTTCACCCTGCAGCAACGAGTGCAGGTGGAGAAGCGAGCACAAGATGCAGCAGAGGAAAACATTCTGGAGGAGCTGGAGCAGTGCCGGACTTTCCTGGAGGTAGGTGGGCACTGGAGGGGGTTGACGTCTGCTGGGGATCTCCAGCTATAGAAGGGTTTGGGCAATTCCAAGTTCCAGCTCCAGCAGCTCCATGCTCTCCCCCTGCAGAGGCTGACTGCATCCTGCATGGATGTGAGCTGCAAGGAGGTGCTGGAGCAGCTGCAGTGCAGCCTGGCTGTGCTGGCAGCTGCCATCAAGCGTGCCACCAGTGCTGCAGAGAAGCTGGGAGCTGTCCACCAGGTGGGTGAGGAATGGAGGTGCTGGGAATGCATTGCTGGCGGCTGTGCTTCCTCCTCCCAGTGCTCCTGTGGGTTTTGTTGGCACACACTGGGGTATCCTCGGAGTGGGAAGGGGACGATTTGCACCCAGAGAGAGCTAGTGGGGGGCATCGTCCATGGGGACGTTGGGAACCGATGGCTGGTCCTCCCGGACACAGGAGGCACGGATGAGCCGAGCAGCGGAGGTGATGGTCCAGCATGTGGAGAACCTGAAGCGGCACCACCTGCGTGAGCACGCTGAGCTAGAGGAGATGAAGTGCCTGATCCAGCAGAACTCCCGCAACCGGCAGTTGGCAGAGACCCAGGGTGAGGTGGTCTCACCCCTGAGGGAGGCAACACTGCAGAATTCAGTTCTAACCCCCCCCTGTAGACAGCATGATCCTGTGCTGTGGAGCCATCAGCTGGGGACCGGGGGTGGATGATAGCTGGGGCTGCAGCTGCCAGACCTGATGACAAATGTGAGGGGTGCATGTAACAGCAGCCACAGAGTGGGAGCAGGTGCTGGTGGCTCTTCTGCAGACCACTGGGGAATTCAGAGTGGGGGCACACAAAGGGTGCCTTGTCCCTGCAAACCGCATGCACAGTGTGTGTGTACAAGCAGTTCCCCCTGGTTGAGCACACCTGTGGCTTATGTCAAGCCGAGAGCATGTGGTCTTGTCTGCCTCCAACATGAAGGACATTCATGATTGCCTGCATGTCAGCCCCATTTTTCTTTCTGGAGGCAACATGAGGCTTCTTCTCTTTTCTTCCAGATGATGCAGAGCTGCGGCTGAGGCCTCACCCCCTGATGCGAGGTTTCCAACAGGTAATGGCAGTACAGCACGCCTCCCAACTCCCAGTACCACCTCATGCCCTGCAAACATCCTTCTCCCTGCTATACCCAAGCACTGCTCCCCCCAGGGCAGCATCCCTCTTCCTAGCCACTGCTGTAGGCAAGGTTTGCTAGAAGCACTGGGGCAAAATGTAGGGGAGAGCTGCAGGCCTGGAGACCTCAGGCAGTCCCTCTGCATTGCAGGGCTTGACGGGGAGGAGGCTGCTCTCTAGCTCCAGCTTGAATTCATCTCTTCTTCCCCTACAGCTCATGAGGTAGGGGAGCGCTCAGGAGGGGTTAGGTGGCACTGCTTGGCACAGCAGGAACAGGCGCAATGCTCTTGGCTTTGACGCCCCTTCTTCTCATCACCTACTGATGGCAGGCTGGCAGCATCCCTTTTCCTCCTCCTTGTCCCTTGCTCACACTGGGGTTGGGAAATGCAGGGAGAGATCAGCACTGTGCTCACCCTATCCCCTCCGTTCCCCACAGTCATCTGCACGTCGCCGAGTCAGCATTGCTGTCATCCCAAAGCAGCTCTTGGTAAGGACATGCTCAGTGGGGACAGACAGACTCGGTACCATCAGGTCTGGGTGCTCACGTTCCCTCCTTTGGTGCCCAGCCAGCTTCTGACGTGGATGGCCGAGCAACCCTGGCTGGCGGGCCTGAGGGTGCCCAACACCAGACCAGCACCCAGAGGTAATGGTGCTGGGTGAGTGGAAGGGTGGGGGGACCACACGGCTCTGTCTGCCACCATCCCATGGGGTACAGTGTCCCATTTCTCCCTCCCTAGGAGCAAACTGGAGCCACCAAGCCAGGGCAAGCTGGTGTGCGAGGGGCTAGTGGTGGAAGCAGGTGGCAAGCAGTTGGAATCAATCGCAGGGGGCAAGGAGCTGGGGCAGCTCAGGATGATGTGAGCAACACCCTTCATCCCTGGGGCTCTGCAGTCCCAGTGCTGCCAGCATGTGGGAATGGAGGTGGGATGTTGGGAGATGGAGTTTTGTGATTGTCCCTCTGAACCTGCCCTGCCTCAGTTTCCCCATGCATTGTGAGTTACGTGTGCCTTCCTCACTCTTGTTTCATCCAAGTTTGGGCTAAATCTTGTCCCTGCTTTGTGACAAGTGCTGTGCCCTTTGGGTGAAGTATGTCCCTTATTGCCTTGTCCTTAGGTCCAAGGAGTCCTCTGTGGAGCTGTGGCAACCGTGGCTCTTCATCTCACAGCCCTACTGGGTTGTGTTCTGCCTGCTTCTCCTGAGCGTCGCCTTCCTCCTCCTTCTCCACCTTTTGGAGCTGCAGCGGCTGCAGCCTGCAGCATCACCCAAAGCTTAGCTGCACCCACCCCCCATCACTGCTCCTCCTGACACTCTTTCCCCCTCCTCCCTCCCTGCTCTCCCCCCAAAACCACGGAGGCCCTAGAAAAATAAAATTGGAGGAAAAAAAATGGGGAGTTTTGATGCTGGAGCAAAGGGTGACGTTCTGTGCTTGGAGCTTGGAGGCATAAAGCTGCATCAGCCTGCATCCCTGTGAGAGTTTCCTGGTTCTAATGACACAATGAGGGATACAGGGATGTCCCTTGCATGTCCCCTTTCCCGTGGGGACAGTGCCCATGACCACCGTGGATTTGCTTTAGGGCTGTGTCTCAGTTATGCTCCCTTTGTCCCTGCACTGTAAGGAATGCCAACACCTTCCCCTGCATCCTCAACCCCAGCATGGGCACACAGGGAGAGGAAGGATCTGTACCTCCAGTTCCTTTTCTGCCTTAATTAAGATGTATGCTAATTCTCTACATCTGTCCCCCCAAGGGACAAACCTACACCTGGAAGGAACTGATTATTAGCACTTAGACCTCTTTGTAGTAGAACAAAGTACTCACAAAGGGAGCTGTCAGAAGCAGCTCCATGGCTGACACCAGCCCCAGTTCTGCACAGGCACCTCATTTCTGCATCCACACCTCCAAAACATGGGTGGACTCTGGGGGTTTTGCATGGGGTTGGGGGACTCCAGCCAGCCCAGCCAAGCGGTGGGGCCATGGGTGATGGTCCTGTTGTGGGACTCTTGGGAGGATCCAAGGAGGGATGGAGACACTGGGACACCTGTCCCTTCTTGTTGCACATGACTCATGGTCCCTATGTGCTTCCTTGCCCCATGTCCCTGAGTCACCGCAGCCTCGTGGCAGGTTGTCACCATGTGTCACCGCTCCACCAGCCCCATCACTAGGGGCATGGGGTGAGCAGACAGCAGCAACCCAAGGAGTTCACTGCTGGGAAATCCTAAAATCCACCCAGTTGGGGTCAATCTTTGGGGAGTGGGCAGCTTCATCCCCCTGTGGCCCTTCAGCTAAGGTGGAAGTGCTGTCCCAAAATTTTCCACGAGTGGCACTGCTTGGGGACACTATTGGTTCATTTAGAGACAGGGGCTGAGCAAATCCCTCCCACCCAGGGCAGGACCTGGCTGCTGGGCTCTAGGCTTTATTTCTGGGGGCGGGGAGGAAGCACAGCACGAAAAGCAAAGCGTTTTGTTTCATCACTGCTCTCCAAAACCACGATTGCAGCACAATTTGTGGCAGCACAAAACGGGGCAGACCCGGAGACAGCCCTGTCCCCTCTGCTGGGATCCCAGCACCGCCTTCCAGCAGGAAAGGAGTCGAGAAGAGAGGAAAGGAACGAAGTCAGAAGGAAAGTAGCCGGGAGGAATTGAATCGGGTGGCCGGAACCACTTTCAACCCTCATCCAGCCCCATCTCTGCGCTGTTCCTGCACTGCGCAGACCTGAAGGTGAGTGAGAGGGGATGGGCAGAGAATCCCTGGTGGGTAGGGGGATGTAAGGGGTCACCCTGCTGTCCTCCTGGCCCCTCCCCTCCCCTTCCAGCTCTATTTCCTGCTCCAAGGAAAATGTGGGTAAAAGGGGGCCCGCATTGTGTGAGTGGCACCGGAAACATCTCTCCGGTTTGATGTACTGTAAGTTGCTGAAGCCCTGGGGGTTATTTTGGGATGCTGGGCTGCATGAGTCTCCCCTTGGTCTTCACTTTGCCAACCCCTACATTCCGCTGCCACCAGGACTAAGGGAAAAGGGAGTAGTCCCCTCATCTTGCACTCTTTTCCCAGTCCCACCAGTGCTCCCAGTACCAAGAGCAATGGAGCAGGAAGAGCTTTGCAAAGGGAGAGGCTTATTCCCATCCTGGCCCCTTGCTTGGGTGCAGGGGGAAGATGCTCAGTTGGTGTGCAGGAGCCCCCGGGACATTTTGCCAATTGAAGTTGGGGTTTGCAAGTCTGCTGTCCCTCCAGGGTACATCTGCTGCAGAGCAGAACTGCTGGGCATCCCACTCCGCCCTACCCCCCTCAGGCAGTGAGAGCCCAGAGCAGAGGACACTCCAGGTTATTTTTGCCTGCAGCCATCTCAGCCCCAGCCCAAGCAAGAGCAGCTTCTTGGTAGCACTACCAGTGCTGTCCTAGACAAGGGACTGAGCTGTCCCATTCCCTTGGCTGCAGTGACCTCTGTGCAGCCTGAAGGGCTGGTGCTTAGTGGGGGGCATGGCTGAGCCCCATGAGCTCAGACGACTTTTCGGGGTGCTGGTGCCCCTGAGTGTTGTCTTTTTCCCATGTTCTCGGGGATGTGGTCAGGATGTGGTTTATGGACCCCCTGTGCAGAACAATCCCACAGTGTACCGGAGAAGTGCTCACTACCACGGCAAGTGGCTGAGACCCCCCCGGGGTCTGCACAAGGTTGCTGCATCCCAAGGGGCTTTGATACCCACTTTCATAAACCCTTGGCAGAGAGCATCCTGCCTTGATGGTAGTCCTGCGGAGCCTGGCCCATGGGTTCTCTGGGCTGATACCAGTCTGTGCTGGGAGCACGCTCAGCAGGAGGGAGAGGTCCAGCTGCCAAGCTGTGCTTTTGGAAGCCCTCCCAGCCTGCAATTGCTCTGTCCTTCCCTACCCTGTTTCCATGTGCCGGAGGATGTGAACTTGCCAGCAGTTCTGCACCCTGGGGCTGCTTCCCCTCTGCATCCCCGTGAGTCAGGACAAGGGGAAACCCCCACCAGCACAAATGAGCACCCCCATTCCAGGGTTGCTCTGCATGCACTGGTGCTGGATGACTTCCCTATGAGCTTCATTTCTGCAGCTGCTCCAACCAGAGTTGTCCTGGACTGAGTCAGGACTGGCTACAAACCCACCTCCTCTCTCTGCCTTTAAGGGAAGAAATGAACAAAGTATTTGTGCTTTCATCTGAGGAGTGCAGAGGCGGAGGCTCAGTGCCTTGCCCCCCCTTTGGTGGCAGCAAATCTACAGAAACTGAGCAGCCAGAGTGATTCCGACTACTGCTAAAAGCTGTTGTTGTATAGGGGTCCAAGCACACTAAAGGGGACATGAATTGCTAGCACAAGCATCGTTTCCATAGGAAACTCAAAGTAACATTGAGCTTGTTGTTCTGCCTCCTCCTTGCCAAGCCAAAGCACTGTAGTGAAATGCTGTCCTGGCATGGGGCATGGCCCTGGCCCCACACCACTGGCTGTGGGCAGGATGCCTCAGTTTCCCCAAGCTCTTCAAATTCATTGTTTCCCACTGGTAAGGATGGAGAGCTTCAGGGAGCTGGGGCACAGCGCAAGGGCAATGCTCACTGTTCAAAGAGGGAGCAGAACAGCTGAGGAGCAGTGCAGCAGGATGAGACTTCCACCATGCTGCTTCTCCTGCCAGGTTGGGAGCATCAGCCAGTCCCATGGTTTGGAGGTGGATGGAAATGGCAGAGCTTGGTGCTAGTTGTGGCATGGGACAGCAGTGTGGTGCCATCAGGTATGGGGAGAGGTGCATGGAGATCAGTGAGCAAGCATTGGGCAGATGCTGAGCAAGGGCAGGGTTTTGGGGGAGTGCTACACCCCAGCTGTGGTGGAAATCTTCTTGCATGCTGCCAGGACTGTCTGTGTGTCATTTGGTTATTTTTGGTTTCCCAACATTGCTTCCTCTGCTCTCCGTCTGCCTCCAAGATGGCAGCTTCCACCTTGCCGGGCTGTCACAGAGTAAATCCTGCTCTCAAACCAGGGCAGCAGGGTCCTGCCCCTTCCTGCCCAGCAGTAGTTTTATTGTTCTTGGGGCACTGTGGTTTGTCCCTGCAGCTGGGACCTCACCAACAAGAGGAAGGAAGCGGTATCTTTGCTCCGAAACAGTGCTCTCACTCGCTGCAGGTATACACAGCACAAAGGAAGTTGCAGCCGTCCCCTTCCCTGACGTCACCCTGGACGGTGACACCGTGGCTTACTGGGTGCAGCCGGAAAGGGCCCTGATTCTAGTGTCACCATCATCAAGATTACTGCACCCCGTGCTGCAAAAAACCTTGTGCTGAGACCCCAGGTTCTGCAGCATCCCTATAGGGATGGACTGGAGGATGGCACTTGGGGGTCCTCCTCTTATCCCTGCTGTCCCCCCAGGATGAGTACGCCCGATGAGGAGCCGACCAATCCAGCCCACACACTGTTTGAGCACTTCGTACGCGCCAGGCAGTGCCAGGAGGTACTGAGCTGCTTTGTGGAGCTGTGTCAACATCTGGGGCTGCGGGGCAATGGGCTGCAGCTGTACCACAGCCTCAAGACTGCCCTCAACTTTTGGAGTGCCAAGGCTCTGTGGAGCAAGCTGGATAAGAAAGCAGGACACAAGGACTACGACCAGGGCACTGCCTGCGCCCGCACCAAGGTACAGGTGGCTGTGGGATGTGAGGTTGGGTCCCTATGCTGTGTCCACGGAGTGGGAACATCCTTTGGGATGTCCTTGGAGGAGGGTGCAGGATGTGCCAGTTGGGATGGCAATGCAGTTTAATGTCTTGAAGTGGGTTGATGTGTTAATTAGCCCCCATGTCCTCCCATGGCACGAAGCCACTTTGGTGCTGCTCAGTTGGCAGTGTCCATCCTATCCCCACTGTGAGGATTGCAAAAGAATGGAGGGATATAGTGACCCAACACCATGTGTCCTCCTGGGGCTGGTGACCTCAATTCCCCCATCTCCCCCATCTCCCCACTGTCACCTCTCCTCCCCACTGTCACTTCCTGCCTGACAGCGGTTCAAAGTTCAGTCTCATTACTGGGTCTGCTACCAGCGAAACTTCCCTATCTGCAGAGAGGGAAAGCGTGTGCTCCTTATCTTGCCTGGTGCATAATTGCTACCATTGCCGTGACACCAAGGCAAGATTCAGCCTGTGGGGAGGTGGATATCACCCCACATGGCACCCTGTTTGCAGCATGGGGAGGAAGGAGGGGAGTGGGAAGGGATGGAGCAATGGTTTAAAGTGGATTAGGGTGAGATTAGCCTTGAGCCTAACGTAACACCATGGGGATGACACATCACTGGGATATCACATCACGGGGATGTCACACCATGGGGACATCATGCCATCTGTCCCCTCTGCAGTGTCTGGTGGTGGGTGCTGGTCCTTGTGGGCTGCGCACTGCCATCGAGCTGGCGCTCCTTGGCGCCCGTGTGGTGCTGCTGGAGAAGCGTGACTCTTTCTCCCGTAACAATGTGCTGCACCTCTGGCCCTTCACCATCCATGATCTGCGGGCGCTGGGCGCCAAGAAGTTCTACGGGCGTTTCTGCACTGGCACACTGGACCACATCAGTGAGTGATTTGGGTGCACCCCAGAGTTGGGCAGGTAGTGCAGCTCTCATTACTCCTGTGTCCACTTGCAGGTATCCGGCAGCTGCAGCTCATCCTGCTGAAGGTGGCCTTATTGCTGGGTGTGGAGGTGCATACCAAGGTTGAATTTAAAGGCCTCCAGCTTCCAACAGGCAAAGCAGCTGGACAGGGTAAGACATGGCTGTAGGGTTGTGGCATCTTGGGGATACAAGCAGACCCCAGTGACTCCCCTGTCCCGCAGGCGGCTGGCGGGCTGTGTTGCAGCCCAGCTCCTCTCCCCTCAGCCACTATGAGTTTGATGTCCTCATCTCGGCTGGGGGAGGC